GTTGTTGCATCTGTGGGCTTAGAAGTGGTCGTGTCTGATGGTTTCAGAGTCGTTATCTTGGTTGTTGCATCTGTAGGCTTAGAAGTGGTCGTGTCTGATGGTTTCAGAGTCGTTGGCTTCGTTGTTGCAGCAGTAGGCTTAGAAGTTGTCGTGTCTGATGGTTTCAGAGTCGTTGGCTTCGTTGTTGCATCTGTGGGCTTAGAAGTGGTCGTGTCTGATGGTTTCAGAGTCGTTGGCTTCGTTGTTTGGGTGGGTTTGGCAGTCGTTGTGGGTTTCTGCGTTGTCCGTATTGTGGTTTCGAATGTTGGCCTTGGGGTCGTTGCCTTGCTTGTTGTGGGCCCCGGCCCGCAGTCATGTGGAGTTGTGGTGTGGTGTTCGCAGTCATTGTGCGGGGTGGTTGGGGTGCCACATAGATGTGGTGTTGTCTCGCCGTGCGGACAGGGAGTCTTCGTGGGTGCGGGACTGGTGATCCTGTGCTCGCATGCCGGCGTCGTGGGATGTTGCTGGCAGGGTGGCGGCGGTGGCCTTAGGGTCGTGATGCTGGTCTTGTTATTGCACGGGTTGCGGAAGTGTAGCACGATCTCGTTGGGCTTCGCACCTGGGACAATGCGAATGTGCGGGCCAAAGAGGGTAAAGGCGGCTGTAGTGGCCGTCAGCAGGCAAATGACGAACAGTTGCATCTTGTCAACGTGTTGCTGCCTTTTCTTTTTGCCAGCTTTGTATACTCTGTGTCCTGTGTGTGTGTGTGTGTGTAAGTGGCGATCCGTGCACTCGAGCGACACCCTCGATACTGAGTTTCCCGACCGCTCAGTTTCCATATTTAAAGGGGATCTACCGCCCCTGGGTCTGTGCTAAAACTTACATTCCAACGACGTCACGAAAGTGTTACCTCGATCCCCTTGGCTCGGATGCGTTTGCCCAGGCCCGAGCACGCTCCGGATTCCATAAGCCTGTCAGCCGCCCCTTCCCCATCCCCTTGCCCAATTTCATTTCCAATTGGCTTGCATAAGCCAACGGTCAGGGCCCCAAGGGCTCACGTTCAAAGCAGACAGCGACGTTCCAGCCATTCATGACCCATTGAACCCACACCCACCCATTGATGAGAAGTCGTCTTCTTTTTTTTTAAAACGTTTTGCAATTTCAACGATTTGTTTTATTACGCTTCTTTTGTGGTGGTAGTGGTGGTTGCATTTTGCATTTAGCATTTTGCTTACGGCAACATTTTTTGTCGGTAAGAGAGTAATAATAATAATAATAATAATAATAATAACTTTAATATTCATTTGTGCTGAGCTGTTCATGTTCTTGTTCTTTCGCTATTCACAAAATACTCTTATGTATTGGTATCCTAATAGATAATAGGCATCTCGTTCTATATGTTGCATGTATGTTGGTGTGTTTCTGTCTATTTTTGTATGTTTCTTTTGTGTGTGTCTGTATGTCTCTCTGTGTTGTATACAGTGCACGCTCGACAGAGTGAGCAAAGGCTGTTCTCTTCTCCGAACCGATCGAAGAAAGTAAATTATTTATGCATGTATTTTTTCCCTATAACAATTTTCCCTATTTGTTATCAAAATACTTGATACTATTTTGCTTCGATTTTCGATGGTGGCTTCTAATGTACAATAAGTAATAACGATGTGTGTTTTATCCTCTAAGATGAATTTAGTAATATGGCGACGACCTTTTTCAACTCATTCTCTCAGCAGAGAGCAGATGCGGTGAATACGTCACCCTATAATTAAATTCACCTTAGATTTCCCTTTCTCTCTCGCTCTACTTTAAGATATTTTCTTGCATAGATTTATTGCAATGAAAAAGAGTTTGTTATCCGTTTCGTTTTTGTTTTCTTTTCACACGGGTACAGTCTTCGAACTTGATGTTGTTTTTCTTGTTGTTGTGCTTTGACAATTAATTTTATATTTTTTATATATTTTTTCAATTATTGCAAACATTTGTGCGTTGCGAATTCAATTTAAAGTAATTAATGAAGGCTTACACTTCGTGGCAGTTACTATCCTTATCGTTCTTATCTGAATAGATAGATTCTATATAGGACTCCGTACAACACTGGAACCCACAGTTTTGATTTATCTGATTTTTACGCTTTACGAGTTACACTTTGTTTTGGGTTCTACAACTTGTAAACTTTGATTGAATTACTTTACTTTCCGCTTTCATTTGAAATAACTAAAAAGTTATTCTCATTTAAAAATCGTATCTTCCAATCATCCCAATCCGATTCTGGTGTATGGTATTCCTATGGCAGCTATGTATGTATGTATATATCTCGTACATGATCTATAATGCTTACGATCTTTGGTGTTACGTTTGCAGCAAAATAGGGTCTGAGGTAAGATAACAGCCCCACCCTGGTACAGAGAGAGGGCTGTACAACTGAGGGGACAACATATATCTATTCTGTATATACATATGTATGTATGCTTTCGAGCAAACACTAATTTTATTAACATGTGGCGTCTATACTATTTTCGGTGTAACTGGCTGTTGACGCAGAGCTGTAAGCGAGCGCTGCAGCTGGCTGTTAACGCAGGGTTAGTTGTAAAGGGGAACGCTAACAGGCTGTTAACAGCTCTGTTACCCTGTAACAGCTGCTGCTCTGAACATTATATTATTGTATGTATGTATATTTGTAATTTGTATTTGTATGGGGTGCAGCAAGTGCCTGCCACCCGGTTTTGCTATGAGGTATTATGAGGCTATGTGTAATATAAATCGCATAACTAATTTTGTTTGTTTTTTTCGTTTTTAGTCGGTTCACTTCTGTTCTTTTTTTGTTTTTTGTTTTTTGTTTTGTTGGTGTCTTCACCCTTTCGAGCGTGCACGTTTTGTTTGTCTATTTAGAAACTAGTATTTGTTTTTATTATAAATATTGGCATCGTTGGAATAAGGGGAGGGGGAGGGGGTTGCTCTCTCTGACAATTTTCCATATAAGAGTTTTAGTTTTAGTGAATTGTTTTGCTGGCTAGTTGACGAAATTCTATGCCTTCGCTCGCTCGCTCGTTCGATCGCTATATAAATTTGCACTGTACCTCGCACTTGGCTTCCTTTTTGCGCATATATTGTATATATATAAGTATAATATATATACTATATACATATATGTATGTATATGTTGTATATCTCTTTGTATATATTTTAGCTATAACAAAGACTGATCCATTCTAGCGCACAAACAACAACAGAATTATAGAAACTAATTGTGTGTTTTTTCGTAATTTTTGTTCCGTCATATACATATCCTCTCTATCTGCTTTCCGCTATCTGCTATCCACTACCCTCTATCCTCTATCCGCTATCAGCTATATATAGTAATCGTAATTAATGGTAAGTGTTAACCGTTCTCAGGCCTCGGATACTCTTACATGTACATTTTACATTACACACTTAGGCATTTTTGTTATGTATATAAAACTCTAGGCCACTAGTTTATAATGTTAATAGGCTCCGATTGGACTGCACGAACTAATCCAGCTGTGATCTGTGGCCACGGCTTTGGGCTAGATCTCGTCGTCGCTGGTTTGGGTGCAGAGTACCTGCTCCTGCCACCAGTCGTGCACCTCGTAGACGGCATTCGCCTGATTGTTGAATGGCAGCAGCTTTCCCCCACTGCCGCCGATCATCTGGCTCATCATTGCCGAGGGACTGCCGATGGCACCACCACCACCGGCCCCGCCATGATGCTGATGCGAATGTGGGTGCTGCTGCTGCTGATGATGGTGCGGATGATGATGCTGGTGCTGATCCAGACCATGGCCGTAGGCGGCTGCAGCGTTTATTGTCGGATAGTGGAACTGGCCAATCTCGCTGTTCAGCTGGGCAAAGAAGCTGGCCGACTTGCTGGCCGAGTCGCCTCCCAGCCCCCGTTGCTTGCCCCCAAGCTGCCCCAGCTGGCCCGCATGCGGCAGTGTGGTCATCGAGTTCTTCTTACGTTGCTGGCTGCTTATATGCAGCCTCTCCTTGTCGCTCAGCGTTGAGCGCTGCTGCGGATCACTGGAGGTGGGCGCCAGGAACTTGCGGCCCGCCGAGCTGCCCGTCGAGTCGGAACGATTGAGGGCATAGGCCCGTTTGCCCACAGCCATCACATGACGTGCGGCCGACGGCACTGTGGTAACCGCAGCAATTGGCTCAGAGTGTGGCAGCGCCACGGCACTACTGCTGCCATCCTTCTCCTCGTTTTCCGTCGAGCTAAAGGTGGGCGAGAAGGCATCGCTGGTTGGCGGACAGGTGCCCGCCACTGCACCGCTAATGGTGCTGATGGCTGACTTATCCGCCGCCCCAATCGGCGCCTTATCCTCCTGCACATTTGGCCGCATCACAGGCTGCTCATTGGTGGCCCTCAGTCCAGCAATCAGGGAGTTTTGTTGCTTCTATTTGTGGCAGAGAATTAGAGGATAGCAAAAATATATTTCTCTTTGGCTTACGCTGGCGTTTTGGGCCCGAATCTTTTTCAGGCAACCCTCCAGCCAGGTGCGTATGGTCATCTTGGCCACCTCCTCCTCCACCAGGTACTCGAACTCCTCACGCGCCAACAGCTCCTCCAGTTGCAGAGCCTTGCGTATGTCCACCGAGCGATAGCTCAGCATGCTGTTGCAAATGAAATTGAAATTAAATGTAATACCCCAAAGGCAGACTCTCCTTTTGAGACTCACTTGATGACATCGTGAAAGGTGACATCCTCGCCATTGTGCAGCTTGTCCAGCTCATAGCACATGTACTTGAACAGCAGACGATCCTTCTGCGGATCGCACTCGAGTCGGCCCTTGAGCAGGCGCAGTATGAACTTTACCCGCCGCACGGGTATCACGCCCCGCTGATGTATGTCCACAATGTTCCAGGTGTTTTGAAAATTGCGTATATCCGCATACGAGAGCAGGGCATCCTCCTCATTGGAGTAGAACAGCGAAAAGTTCTCCATGATAATGGCTACAAGTTGACATCAAATTAAAGCAGATCAGTCCAGCTGAGGTTTGCGCACAGACTTACCCACTAAAAGATTGAGCACAATGTACGTGATGATCACGTAGAAAGTGCAAAAGTATATCAAACTGGCTGTGAAATTGCCACAGTCTGTCTCCCAATAGTTGTTGCCCAGCGTACAGTATGGCGGCTGGACCATGCAGTCGTGCATGATTTTATTCCAATCCTCGCCAGTGACAATCCGAAAGAGCATGGCCACACCGGTAACAGGTGATCCGAAATTGGCCCGCCTGCCAATGCCCTCGCCGTACTTGACAGTGCCTGTGCACAAGAGAGACAGGCGCTGATATTAGCTGAGAACGCGGGGGATTGAGGGGGTTCGCTCACCAAAGAGTATGGTCCCTGCCAGCGCATAGAAGAATACCAGCAGAAACATGCCAAAAATAATGAAGAAGGACTTGCATACAGACACGCCCACGGTCAACATGAGCATCTTCAGTGTGGTGTGCTTGCCGGTGATGGTGAAGAAACGCAGGATGACCACCATGAAGCCAAAGAAGTATGACAAATCGTTCTGTTCAGCAGGTGTAGCCAAAGGTTAGAGTTGTGGGGCTGAAAGTGTGTCAGCGGCATTGAAAACTTACCCTCAATATCGTCTGGAGTATAATCCAAATGACGCCAGCCACGGTGACGAGCAGGTCATAGCGATTGCGCCTCGATTGCCAATAGCCGCGCGGTGTAAAGGCAATATTCTTCATCACCACCTCAACCACAAAGACAAAGGTCAATACCGCACTGACGATCACCAGACGTTCCGTATGCACCTCGCCCTTGATCCACTGCAGATACAATAGAGACAGAATATGATAGCCGAAACCATGGAACTCAGCCCTAAGCCTCGCAAGCAGAAACCCACCGTTATGGAGAGCAGCATGCTATTGATCAGCACCACCACAGCAATCACCCGCTTGAAGATTATGTGCTGCGTGATGTCATAGGTGAAGGCACGGATCTTGCGTCCATCGGGTCGCGGCGGCAGATGCAGCGGCTGGGCAATCTTCAGTCGCTTCTTGAGGTCACACCAACGTCGCTGGTCGACGGTGAGCAGAGCAGTGCCCTTGTTCTCCGAATAGTTGGCAATGACCACGCCCACGAACAGAGTGAGGCCAATCATGCACCCCAAGAAGATGTAGATGTGAATGTAAACGGCATGGACCTATGGATAGAAAATGCACATGAAAAGTGTTAGAGGGGTAGAGAGGGCTGATGGTGATTGCTGATTGAGGATATGCTTACCGGACCCACGGCCTTGATGAGTACATCGCGCACATCCAGCCAGCCCTTGAAGGATAAAACCTCGAAAAGCGTCAGCATGGCGTCCCCGATATTGTCGAAATTGAAGCGCCGGGGATTGGCCCAGACCCGCGGCACCAGCATGGCCGGATAGGACTCATCGGGACCCGGTGTCAGCTTCATTTTCGTCACGAAAACCCTGCGCATGAAAACGCCAACGCAATCCTCACGCCGCGGTATGGTGGGATCGTTGCAACGGGCCAGCCGTCCGCCATATAGCTGTACCCCATAGCTGGCGAAGATGAACATGAGCAGGATAAGCAGCGTGGATACCAACAGGATCTCCTTGAAGCCGCGGCACAGCTCGTAGACGACCTTGCGCATGTGCGGCACCAGGGTGAAAATCCGCAGGGGACGCACACAGCGCAGGATCATGAGGAGCTGTGCTGCCGAATTGGTGGGTATATTGAGTGGCATCCAGCACAGGAACGACGTCGACACCACATAGATGAACACATCGAGGGCCGCTGCCACATCCTTGATGTACGCCTTCGGTGTGAAGAACAATCCATCGGCGAGTATCTTGAGTGCCAGCTCAAAACTCATGAAGATCACGAAGCCATATTCGGCTATCTGCAGCGTTGGATGATCCATCAGCCGGTAGTTGGGCGTCTCAAACATCATGGAGATGCAGGAGAGTGTTGTCGCGAATATCATCACCCAGTCCAGGTACGTCACCAGGCCCAGAAAGTTACTGGAAGCAAAGCAAAAATGTCAGCACCCCATCTCTGGGTGGAATGATAATGGGAGTAGGCATGGGCGTGGGCGTGGGGGAACTCCCGCCTGGCTGAACTTACTGCAAACTTTTGTACTGAACCTTGCGCTCCTTGCCCGTCAGCGGATCCTTTAGCCGCGCATCGTAACGCGCATGAACAATCTTCTGGCATATTTTGCGAAAGCGACTCTCGCGCGGCACCAGAAAGAGCGGCGTGTCGAAAAACGGATGATTCTCCCTGAGATCCTCCTCGCGCTGATTTCGTCGCATCTCCGCCTGCTGGCGCTTCGCCTGCAGCAGCTTAATGTCCAAGTCGTGCGGCCTTGCCCGTCCCGAATTGGCCCTTGGGGCGGCCGCAATATCTCCATTCTCCATCAGATGCTCGTACGTCTGCTTCAGCTTGATGGAGCCCGAGCGAACGCTGCGCCGTATGGAACGTGAGCCGAACCTGTGGATTGGTAGTGGACACACATCAAACGCAGGGGCAGGCGTGGCCCAGCTACTCACTTCTTTTGATCGACACGCCATGGCTTCGAGTGGGTGATGGTGCCCTGCGACTTGAGGCCACCACCGCCCTTGGTACCCACCACTGGCAGCATGGCTGAGTCGCCCAGCATCAGGCGTTGATTATTGCTGTCACTAAAGCGATGAAAGGAGCAAAGGATTAGCCTTCTGTCTGGCTGTGTAAATAAATAAATACTCACTTGATGATATGCGTAATGGCCAGCTTGCGTAGACTGCTGCCAGCAGCCCTTACCTTCGCCGTTTTGTTCATAATTCGCACGGGCTTCTGTTTGCGAAAGACAACATTCGATTCCCAGCACTCGGACATGGGTCGCTTGCAGCTCTCCACCAGTGAGGGATCCTCCGTCTCCAGCTCGATCACGAAATGCTTCATGAAACTCTCCCGTACCTTGGGCAGCATGAAATCATTGGGTATGCGATGCAAAATTGTCATTTGCGGCGAGTCGGGGAACTTTTCGAATATGCGCAGGCGAAAGGGCAGGGTCTCTTTGATTTCGGCGCTTTGCTCGCGAAACTTGAGCTGCTTCAGCTTCTTGATGTCCTCGTCCAGCTCCAAGTTATCCAAAATGACCGCCACGAACAGACTGAGCACAATGAGGGTGACGAACAGATGGTAGAGTATAAAATAGACGGCTACCAGCGGCGTGAGGGTCTTGCTGGTGCGTATCATTGTCTCGTCCATCACCTCCACCCAGGCCTCCTGGGTGAGGATCTGGAACATGCTCATGAATGCCTCCGGGAACGACTCGAACTTGGTGAAGTCGCACAGGAAGCAGAACAGCTGCATCGAAATGCTCGAGCTTATGATCAGCAGGCACATGGTGAAGATAATCAAAGATCCGAGCTTCTTGCCCGGTCCAAAGATCTTGTAGACGAAACCCTCCAGCATCGGCGAGGCCTTGATCAGTCGCACCACGCGCAGCACCTGGAAATATGTGAGCCCGGACGGATAGAACATGGGCACAATGTGCAGGGTAGTGCCCGCCGCGAGAAGCAGCTCGAATTTGTGTATCGAATGCTTGTAGTAGCCCCGCCAGCCAAGGCAGTAGATCTTGAAGAGGGTCTCCAGGTCGAGCAGGCAGGTGAACACCAGCTCGATGTAGTAGTAGCGCTCATAGAACACCGAGCGCGGCCGCCCATCGTGCTTGAACGTCATGGTGGCCGTCACAATGCCATTGGCCAGGATCACAGTCATCACCAGCATGCGAAAGTACGGAGATCGCAGTATGGCATGGCATGTCTCGGGCGCCAGTCCGCCATGCTTATTATCATCGATGGTGACCAGCCGCCAGCCCGAATCGTTGCCGCTGAGGATCTGCGAGGCGGCCGTCTTCTGGATGTGTCCGCGGGCGCCCCACATCTGCTGGAATTGCACACGTATCTCGTTGAAGGTCTCCGTGATGACAGCTATGAACACGTTCTTCACCAGCCACGCCAGGAAGAAGATCATTGTGCTGAAGTAAAAGGCAGCCCGCCAGGCCGGCAGTGAATCTATGGCCCGGTACATGATAAACACCCAGCCTTCCTGCGAGGCAGCCTGGTACACCGTAAAGATGCTTGTGGCAATATCCTCGAAACCATTGAAGCCAATCACATAGCTGCTAAGGAAGTCCATCTTCATGCAGCGCATACCCGGCGAGCACTGATACCCAGAGTCTGGGTCCATAGAGCAAAAAGTGTCCGGTATGGCCAGCGAGTTAATGGTCAAAACTCTGCAAAGCCAATCGCAATTAATTGTGTGTGAAATATGTATTTTGCATATATTGCAGAGAATACTCACGGTCTGCCCAGCAGATCATATGTGGTATTGTTCATCACACAGTGATTTTTCAGCTCGCCAAAGAACTGCACGCCCAGCAGTCCGTAGAGGGACATGAAGAACAGGAAGAATAGCGTTACATTATATATCTGTTGGCTCGATCGTCTATTTAGAGAGAAGAAACGGTATAGAGTTAGTAGTCCTTGGGGAATGTGAAGATAACTCACTTGAATATCTGATTGATACGACTCTTGGGCATGCTAAACTTAAGGAAGACGCGCAGGAAGCGGATCATTATCAGTGGCCTTGGGGCACGCATAATGGAGAGGTAGGAAAACCTAAAGAAATCAGAGAAATGTATGTGAGAAATGGTCTGTGCTATATCTCGTACGTTTGGGGTACCAAATATGTACATTTGAATACAATTTGGTGTTTGCAACGAGTGAGTGCAACGAGTTATTGCAACGAGTAACCACTCGATATTTCACATGGATATCTCTTAAATATCTCTTGGATGTGGGATATAAGATAAGGAAATTGAATGAAGATTAGTATTTGCAGCGAGTGTTTACAACGAGTGTTTGCAACGAGTATCCACTCGCTATATTACATGGATATATCTCTTAAATTTGGGATACAAGATACAAAATATATATTATGAAAGTTAGTGATTACAACGAGTGACTGCAACGAGTGTTAGCAACGACTATCAGCACACGCGACTGGCACTCGCTTATAAAGCATAAAGTATTACTTAAAGGAGCACACTCACTTGGGAACTATCTCGAGCACCTCGAAGATCTGCAGTATTATGGAGATCCACAGAAAGCTCACCATGGAAGCATCAAACTGGCACCAATGATCCTTCAGGTAAGGCACCTCACCCTGTCAATAATGGGATGCGGGATTAGATCTCAAGATACCAAAAATATGCGGCAACAAATGTACTTACATGGAGCACACCTCTTATGTGCATTTTGGCTATCATTTCGGCGGTGAAGAGCAGCGTGACGGCCGTGTCCGAGACGAATGTGATGTACTGCAGCGACGGGTAACGCTCGAAGGTTTTGGGCGTGTTTAGGGATACGGAGGTCAGCGAGACCAAGGCACAGAGACGCATCAGGCGGCGCACCCACAGCTTGTTGACCCACTCGATGTCGGCGCTCTCATTAAGTGACTCCTCCGGCCCGTAGTCGGCCAGGAAGGGCTCGCCGCCCTTGAGGCTCTGTTTGCGTCCCAGCATGATCTTGTTCCCAATGCCGGTCGCAATGCCCAGGCCGATGGGCGGCACTCCCGTAATGGCCGCACTGCCGACGGTGCTGCTAATGCCACCGCAGATGCCCAGGCCGGCGGCGGCGGCACTGCCGCCCATGCCCACACCCATGCCGCCAAGGCCACCGATGCCGCCGAGCAGATTGAGCCCACCGCCACCGCCGCCGCCGCCGCCCACGACTCCGACTCCTCCGGCGGCCGGCCCCATACCGAGACCAATACCGAGTCCGGCGCCATTATTGTGCCCACTGCTGGCGGCCTGGCTGCTGCCTAGCCCCGTGGTGGATGGGGCCGCCGTGGTCGATGAGCCGCCGGCCTGCTGCTGCTGCTGCAGCGGCTGCTGCATCCCGTAGGCGAGGGTGCTGCTGCCGCCGCCGCTCCCGCTGCCCGAGTTCACAATGGTCGTTGGACTGTTGAGCGCGCTGGCCGCATCCTGGCGAGCTCCTGGCAGTCCGTTGCCAGGACTGCTGCCGGGCGAGGGATTGAAGGTGAACTGGCTGCCGGTCGCCGCCTGCTGCGTGTGCCGCAGGTGTGGATGTGGATGGGGATGGGTATGTGGATGCTGGTGGGGATGGGAGTGCAGGGGATGTGGATGTGGATGCGGTTGATGGTGTGGATGTGTATGTGGATGCGGGTGTGGATGGTGGTGCGGATGGGAATGTGGAGGATGAGCGTGCGCTGCGTGCGGATGCTGCTGCTGTTGCTGTTGCTGTTGCTGTTGCTGCTGCTGGAGGGTCAAGCTGTTTCCGCTGGAAGAGCTGGTGCTGGCCGTTGCCGGCGTATTAATGCCGCTAGCCGAATGCGATCGGGAATGGAAGCTGCCGCCGCCAACGCCGCCGCTGCTGCTGCTGGTAGGGATTCCTCCTCCGCCGCTGCCACCAGCACTGCCACTAGCTCCTGCTGCTGCTGCTGCTGCTGCACCAGATGCACCTGCAACTGCTCCTCCTCCTGTTCCTGTTCCTGTTCCTGCTCCTGCTCCGGCTGCTGCTGCTGCTACGCCCTGCACTGCACCGCCTCCTCCTCCTCCTGCGCGTTTGTTTCTAGCAGCTGCACCCAAGCGACGAATCTGAAGGCGGTCAATCATTCAAGCGGCGCATCCTGCCCCCTGGTCGGTCCGTAACTTATTATTGTCGCTGCAAACAAGAAAAGAGAAGCAAAAAGGTGGAATAGTAAGTACAATTTAAGAGTATGTCTCGGGTTCATCCATACGGATCCATAAATCAATACATAACTATACAGTATGAAGAAAGATTCTGTGGAAATATGGTACAAGGATTTATATTCTGTCCCCATATGCATCATGCAACTTCCATGGAAAGTACAACGTTGCAAAGTTCAATTTCTATTGTGAAAATAAACCAAATCGGTTGAACTAAATCCTTTGGCTGCCATAGCAAAAATCGCGTAAATAAAAGTATTTCCACGTACATCTTTTTTGCTACTTAATATAATCCAAACAAACTTTGGCAACTGCCATAGGAACTAATGATCAAAAGCTAGTTGTTGTATGGAAAACTTTTGTATGACCAAAGATAATCGAACCAAACTTGCGACTCTCTTGGGTTGTATGATTCTGCATAACTCAGACAAACAAAAAAGAACAAATCGGTTGAATATATCTTATAGCTGTCATGGGAACAAAGTACTCCAAAGGTTCTAAAATGTTTTCCTTAAGTTTTGTGCCACAAATTCCATAAAATCTGTTTTTTCATTTGTGTTCTTTAGCTTTTGCATCCATTAAAATCTTTGTATGCTTTTCCATTGAATCATTGATTTATTTCGCACATTTTATCTCACATTTTGTATGATTAAATCAGCTGAAGAAGCTGCCACTATCTGTGAGTGCTCCCTGCTAAATTATTTTGGCAAGTGCCAGAGACAAGAGATGACCGAGCAAAATGAAGCATTTGCATTTAGATATTTTTTAGATATTTTTGCACTCGGAACACACGATTCGGCGGCAGAGTGGATGAGTGGGGCGGCACACAGGCGGCAATTAGACCGAAGACCTTTGTCAATATTTACATTTCGAACAGCTGCCAAGGTAGGCAGTAGCAGTGGCACACTACGAAGGTGCACTCACCCACAGACAACCCCACAGCCCCACAGCGAGCCACACTCATCCCAGCCACTCGTGTGCAATCAGCCACCACACACTCCCACTCACACTTAGACTCACAATCACACTCATGCTGGCAGACAAGCAACCACCAGAACCATTCACGGACTCAAACCGAAACATTCGCAGTAGTGGGTGGCAGTTTTGGGGAGATGGGAGAACATTTGCAACCCCCAAAAGGAGCAGAGGCAGACCCATCTTAATGTACATATACTTATACATACATCAGAGCCTCACCTTCTCGCTCTCTCTCTCGCGTTCGCTCTCTCGCTCTTCCTCTCCCTGTAGCCCCATTGTCATTACCAACACCTGCATACACATATATGTATAGCCACATCCATTCATATATTCGTATGGCCCGTATAGCCACAGTTTAGCCAACGTTTAGTCGTAACCCATCCCATCCCATCCCATCCCGTATCAAAATCAGCAGCTGCAACTGCAACTGCAATTGCCACAGCAGCAACCGCCACCCGCCCCACTCGTCAGGCACTTTTACTCACTTTTCGCGTATGTGGCGGTATGTGTGGCCTTTTGGTTGCCGTGTGTCGGTCCGAGCGTTTAAGATTTATGTATGGATTGAAGTATAGAATTGGGGCTGGAAGAAGCTGGCGAAGGAGACGGAGACGGAGACGGAAACGGAGACGACGACGGCGGAGGAGAGCGAAATTCGCGCGATTTTCTATCATGAGTTGCTCCACATTGGGTGCTAGCAGCAGTCTCGCCACCCCACCTAGCTGGCTGGCTAATCAAACAAAAACGCACCCACCAGCCAGCAGCAGGATGATACAACAAGCGGAACGGAACGGAACGAACGATCGAAGGCCACGCGCGTATGTGGAGATGTGTCCCGTCCAGACGTGGGCTCTGGATGTTTTTGTATTCGATTGGAGTTGAAGTTTCTCCGCTATTGCTCAGCCAGTGAAGTGTGCTCCCAGTAGGCTTCTTGTAGTGCCTCTTTTTTAATTTTTCTTTGTACTAAAACACGCGCCGAGGGCGAAGGCGGACACACGGACTTACGGACTTTCGGACTTCACTTCGACGTGGACGTGGACGTGGACTCGGGGGGCCAGTCAGTCAGGCAGTGCCACAGTCAGCCAACTAAACTCTGACAGCTCTGCAGTTGAGCAGTTTCGGTGCGGTGGGGCGCTGGGGTCCAGCTTGTCAAAGAGCAACCCCCAAGCGAGATGGCGCCTGCGCTGTGCCACCGGGTCGATGACAGTGCGACAGAGTGGCAGCTCTGCCCCAGTGGCCAGACCAGACGGTGGACCAAGGCGGCAGGCAGTCATCCAAGGAGCAAGGACCAAAAACAGACCAATAAAGAAATGGGCGCCACGGCCTCGTGCAACAAAACCTCCGCCAGTGGCCATCCCGAGCACGATGACCCAGCGTATCGCCGTTGCCAGGAGCTCAAGGTGAGTCCACAGTGAGTCCCGCTCCCAGCTTTACATAACAAAAGTGTCTGTGCGTATGTAGATGGAGCGCTGGATACAGATGCACTACCAGATCAAGCAGCGGGAACAGGCCTTGGCCATTGCCCAGCACAGGGAGCTCTTCTACTGGCTGGGCGGCTTCTACTTGAGTGCAATCTACGGCTGTGCCAGCTACTATCAGCGTGCGAAACGCCTCTCGGCGCTGGCGCCACTCCTGCCACTCACCTTTGTCATGGGCTACTACACGGACTGGGCCTATGGCAGCAAGCTGCATCGCATTCAAGGTTCGTGTGCCCCGATCCATTCCATTGAGCCCACTACCCTACTGTCTCCACTCTCTCTCTCTCTCTCCACTATAGCCGAGGCCAATATGATAATGGAGCACGAACAGGAGCTGCTGCACTGGCCGGGCGGTCTGCCCTCTGTGGCTAGCATAGATGAGGCGCGCATGGAGAATGAAATGGAGAAGAAAATGCATCCGCATCACATGTAGAGAGCGAGAGAGAGAGGCAACAAGGCTGCCCCTAGCTACAGCCCCACAACCAACAGCTGTGCTACAATATATTCTGCTCTGGTTGGGGCTGTACATTTATACCTAATCCTACTCCTTCTTCTACTCCTACTCCTGCTCCTTCCTATCGCTCTGTCTTTCTATATATATAAGTATTGACCATTTACTTAGCCACAATTTACTTGCTCTCTACCGTTGCCCTCCCCCAACTCTCGTTCCGTAGACGCTCCAACGGCGGGGACGGCGCTTCAATTTTTTCAGCAGTTTTTTGAGACAATACTCCTTATATTGGATATAGTATATACACTTATATGTAGTCTAGATCATCTAATAAAAGTGTTTTGATCCCACGCACAACCACGCTCAACCATTAGAGCATCAGCTCATCAGAGCTTCAGAAGTTGAGCTCGTCCTCATCCAGCAGGACATGCTCAATGAAGCTGCTTGAGTGGGATGAATCCTTCTTGAAGTGGCGGTCACAGAACTCGGCTATGCGTGCGCATGCCTCCTCAATCATGGCCAGCGGCACTGTCAGCACAATTCGGACATAGCCGGGATACTCGAAACAGCTGCCGGGCAGACAGAAGACACTCTGCTCGTTGACCAGCTCCTGGACAAAGTGGGTGTCGTCCTTGAAGGCCGGAAAGCGTTCGATGCTAACGCCAATCATCATGTACATGGCCCCGTTCGGCATCACAGGATTGAGGCCGCGCACTTGTTTCAGCATTTTGTAGGCCAAAGTGGCATTCGACTGTGGAAAAAGAGAACGAAACCATATGTTAGCCCAGCGCAGGGTCAGAAAGCGTGCAACTTACGTAGAGCACATCGATCACGCCATCAAAGTAGGACTGCGGTGTCTTGGCCAAAATCTCGGGCAGTGCGCCCTGGATGATGGTATTTGAGCCAAGGATGCGGCCACACATGTTCTTCAGGCCAATGACGGCATTGCCCAGCCGCTGCTTCCGATCGTGGACAATGATCCAGCCCATGCGCCAGCCTGGCACTAGGAAGCGCTTGGTGAGGCCGCCACACGACAGGACAGGCACCTCACGGGTGAGGCTGCTCACTGCCAAATGCTTGGAGCCCGGGAACACAAAGTGCTCATAGATCTAGATCAGGGATGAACAGAGCTATTAGATCTATACCTGATGGGTATATCGGGGAGAGAGCACTCACCTCATCGGCTATGATGGGCAGATAGTGACGCTCACAGATGGCTATCAGCTGCCGGAGATGCTTCTCATCGAAGACACTGCCACAGGGATTGCTGGGGTTATTGATCAGCAGGGCGGCCGTTTTCTCATCAATCAGGCTCTCCAGCTGCACGAGATCGGCGCGCCACTGCTGCTCCGGCAGCAGATCATAGTAGCGCACCTCAATGTCCAGGCCCTCGGCCAGAGTGTGATACAAACAAAAGCCCGGCCGTGGTATCAGCACATTCTGGCCACGATCGGCCAGCGCCAGTATGCAGTACTCCAAAGCTGAGGAGCAGCCACTGCACAGCACCACATCGCTCGTCTCGATGGCACCCTCCGGCCGCTGGTGGGCACTGTACTGGGCCACTGCCTGACGCGATGCCTCATGGCCCTGGGTGTGGGCATAGCCATTGAATTTGCCGCTCTCCAGGGAATGCAGCACCGCCTTCATGGTCTCATCGGCGGCCTTCAGGTTACCAAAGGTTGTAGGATCACCTGCAAAGCACAAGAAACACATGGAGCTGAGGATTAGACAAATGCGGTATCAGGTGAATAACCCGTTTATTTCCGCCTATAGCTACGGCAATTCCCTACACTCTCTCGGGGATACAGATACAGGCTGTTGGCTTGGCCAGCGAATATTCTGGTTCCCTGACTCCCAGGCCCCAGTCCCCAGTCACCAGTCCCCAGCCCATGAAACAGGTGGAACTACATTTTATGCAAATTCCCAATCGCAATGAAACAAATACAGAGCGCGTGCCTATCGCTGCGAAAATATAATAATAATAACAAAAAAATATAAAGCAACAACAGAATCAGAATTCCGAAACCAATAACAAGCCGATTTCAAGCTTACACATTGACTTTTTATATAGCTCTGGTATCTGGAATATTTTAGCACAAAAATAGAAATTTGCGCCGATTTTGCTTTCATCAAAAAGGAACAACACAAAAATGCATATTATTATCATCCGTATTCCGTATAGTCCGAGTGGGAGGACCTCACCATTTCAGCCGCCATCGCTGATTGGTTACATTTTGTGGGTGTGTACCTCTGATCCACTGATCATATACTGATCATACATATATACACACATAAGTATCTACATATGTATATGCTATATATACATTTTAATTTGGCACAAGTACTGCCTCAAGTTTTCGACTGCGTGATCGTCCAAACAAGTTTCATGAATTTATGCCAAAGACGAGACCCAAAAATATTTAAATCAGTCCCCATCGCCAAGAAGAAAAAAAACTTGTAGCATAAACGTCAGAAAATATAGACTTCTGGGTAGAATTCAGGTTCCCTCAATCTCAAAAACTGGCAACAACTTATATAGTTTAACCGTAACCCCCCGGTGCACATCACACGATCGAATATAGATATACAGGAATCTAGGATAGGATTCTTTGATATATCATGTCTTTCTTTATCAAAATTCGAAAATTCGGAATTAAAAATTGGTAAGCCAATGCCTTACATCTCTTAAAGCCCTAAACATTACTTTAAATAAATCTCACAACACATGGGAAATACATTTAAAATTCTTTTAAATAAACAAGTTCTTCAGTTGCTTGAGTCCTTTCGATTTTTGGTGTTCCCAAGGTATATATTTTATGTCTTTACTAATAGTTGCCCATAGCTCTAAAATGTACATTTCCATTGATATTTGGAATAATTTGGAACATCTCTTGTAATTCTCTGGATAATAAGCGCTGAATAAGCCCTGAATAAACCCTGAATAAGCTCTCATTAAATCTAAAGATGCACTCACCAATGGACAAAGGTATCATAGGCTTCTCCGGATTTGGTGTGATCTTCAGCGATTCGACAATGTTCCGTATGCGATTGTGAGTGTTGAAGGCTAGCTTCGAGGACTTCACTTGCCAGCCGGAACGACCCATCGCTGCAGGAGGAGCAGGCGGTGGCTGGATCATCTGTTCTTGCTGCTGCGATTGGAGTTGCAACTCGGCCAGGGCCTCGTCCACGACATCGCCGCAGCTGGGGGGCGTGACTGCCGCTGGCGAACCGCTGGCACTTCTGCTCGGGCAGCTGCTGTTCTGCTGATTGCGGCTATTGGCCCTCTGAAACTGGTAGCCCTCGTTGGCAACACTGCTGGGCATTATCACCAGGCAGGCGTTTCACTGGATGCACTCAACAACAAAAAAATCAACAAGAAAAAAAAAGCCAGGTATTTTGTGTGCGGTGTTGGTAATCGAATTCCTTGCAGCGCGTTCTTGGGCGTCTGTTTGCAGGGTGCCAGGGGCCTTAAATGAATGTAAAGTTTGTATCCTGTTTATCGTTCCAGACGAGCATTAGAAATGCGCTCTCTGCATGGGCTCAGCGAGTGTCTAGGGGTGTCTGTTGTGGTTGCTTGGTTGGTTGGCCTTAGAGGTGAAAGTCGTTGGAGCTAAGGGGTTTCCTTTGGATCGTTTGCAAATTCTGAACTAAACTGATCTACTTCGGTGATCTCTTGGTGCTTTTATCGCCTCTGACTTGGCTGTCGGGCTGCCTGGCGTTTCGTTTGGTGGGTCGCCGCTATATAGTCATGCTGTCGGTATACATACTTATATAGGCTGATGGGTGGGTATATAGCACATATACTCGTATAGCGCCATATGGACTCGTCAGCACGCGCCTGACTTCGGCCGAGAGGGCCGACCACCACCAAACCAAAAGAACAACAACGCTCACGGGGCGCGCTCGGAGATCGGAGCTACCGTTTCCCACTCCCCGCAACCCCAGCCATAGCCCCCCCAACCCCCAACCCATCGTTGAGCCGACCTAACACTCTGATTTGAATACTCGCCTTTGAGTCGAAATAATATTCATATATTGGCTCGGAACCAGATTTTCAGTTTGATAAACAACAACAGAGCCACAGAGCCAGAGCCACAGGCCACAGGCCACAGCCATCGCCGTCGCATCGATTCATTTAAATGCGCCAAAGTTGTCTATAACGTCTTGGGCGAAATTCACAAAAAAAAGCACACACACACAGACCATCCAGCCAACCAACCAATCAACCAATCAACCATAAACCATCCTGCATATCGAGTTCCAAAAGTAGCAGTCGTAATGCAGAATAGGGTTTCCCTTTGGGCCCTAGATCTAACAGAGAAATTTTTTGATCTTGTAGTTGTATCCGCACCAAAGGCTGTTGAAAGGGATTACGGATTCTCCTTTCCTTTTATCAGTTTTCAGTTTTAAATATAGTTTGAATTCCCTAGAGAACTTAACATCTGGTTAGCTGCATTCCAACACTTGGCGTAATCGTAGAACATTTAGCATAAACGAATATGCATGAGAGGCGGGACCTGTCTCCACAGATGATGACGACGCAATATATCAATTCTAATCTAGTCTATTTGCAATGCAATGGAGAATAATCCAAGCCGGAGCACGCGGGGCGACATCCCGGGGTTTAACCAACACTGATCCCCCAGTCCGACAGGCATGCACAATGGAATTGCGTTGCAGCTTTCACTTTTTGCCATTTCAAAAACTGCAAAATCATACAAAAATAGACTACGGACAAAAGGACAACATTTTGATCGAAATGGAACCATAAAGTATAGATTTTTGGACGGCAAATCGGATTAAAACGGAACCACAACTCGATCCGCTGATGGAGTCGACCTGTTGTCAAAGGAATAAATTTATTTTTGGCATTAAATTGAATTCATCAATCGAAACCAGAAGACGAATATCGTTTGGTTCTTGAATGACTTTAATCCGATTAGCAGTCCCCCCCATAAACTTTCAATGGATGTACTTTGATTCTATAAACAACACCCTATGTCCGATCTTTCAGGCTGCACTATAAAAATTTAATACGTTTTTCTGATAATCTCTTAATTTGTGGTCATTGGGACGACTTCTTGCTGGTTAGGCGTTAAATAAATTATTCGCTGTCGAAATTCTTTGGTTTTTGGTATGATCCTTTCTTGAAATTATTTCATTGTTGGTGTTTTTCTATGTTGTTGAAACTAGTGGCTTATTGGTGTAGCATTTATACTTGTTTTAATCTATGTTTGTAGTCAAAGGTATTTGTTGTTAAGGTTGAATATTGTTTTGATGATTACCCATATGGGTTTATGTTCAGATTTTGTTCATGTTTTCTTTGTGAACGACATATTTTTGTTGAGTTTCATCGTTGCGCTTGGTAATGTTTAAAATTGTTTAGAGTTTATGTTGCTGGTTTCGATATGCATATGTTTTATCCTTAAAGTTTAACTCTGTGTTTGGTTGATGATGCACAATTATTGCTGTTTTTTATTGTAATTAAATTCGAAGTATTTATTACTGATTGATATTAAATATAATTGTGTATTGTTTTTGTTTTTCGCGCTTAACATTATTTTTTATTTTTGTTATTTACATAGTTTGTTGCTCTTGTTGTTTTGCTATTGGTAAAGTTTCCCCTTGCACTGATTTCTGCTTACTCACATCTGTTGTTCATTTACATACATTTACCAGCCATTTCATTACGCGATAAACAAAAAAATATGTTTTGTCGCTCTAGCCTTGCCATTGCATCATACACGTAATACACTCAGATTTGTCAGGCCAGTTGGCCAGTGAGTCGATCGGTCGGACGACGGAGCGAGCCTCCTGTTCACCTTGTCCGTATCAGACCTGTTTTCTTGAACTTCTTTTTTCTTGTTTGCTGTTTCTTTCGATCAATTGACAGTACGACGCTAGCGGCGTCATCCCATTGATAAGTCCCCAGCCATCGTGTGCAATTCTGCAAGATCCACCTTTAAATAAAGGAGTTGCTTTAGTTTAGATTTACTTAACTTACTCGGTTAAGGAGTAATCTTTTTTCACCTTTATTAACCAAAGTTTTGTATTCTTTATGATGTTACTTTCTTTTTAATAATATAAAACTTGTTTTCGTCTTACATTCCTTTGAGGTTTTCACATAAATATTACTACTCTCCTCCAATCTGCTGCAATATGATCTCGACGTCTGTTCCGCTAGCTGTAATGGAAGGCTCTTAAATGACAATTCTCGTAGGAGTCTGACGCAAGATGAAACTAAAGTACAATTTGCGCATTCATTTCCCCCACCCACCCATGGGTGGCAGCAGATCCACATTTTTCTTGCCCAATGAACAGAGCATTACCCCCGGCCTGTGTGGCTGTGGGGCCGATGATTACCCAATAGCATAAGATAAGTTTTATCTGTCAAGAGGTTTCATCTCGGTTTAAATGACATGAGATAATGCGGCTTTACATCTCATTTTATTGAGCAACCACCGACCGTCCCATATGCATCAGATACATATGTAATACATACAATTATACAGATGAATTGTTTTCTCATTTCTGTTAAGTTTGTCTCCCAATTCGGCGCCGATATTGCATTGCTTTTTTTCGTTGTGTTTCATTTGGTTTGATTTTTATTCAAACAAACATAAATTGTATCCTTTTAATGTACATTAAAAATAAATAAATAAAAAAAAAGAAATTGTGTTCCTTGACATACATGTACATGGTATAATAATCTTTGTGGAATTGGTTTTTGTATCTTCAGGCTTTCGTGTGACTTTTAGTGTACAAAAAAAATTAATTATAATAATAATGAAATGCTTAATGCATTTCATTGTTTATATTCGTTATGTGTTATTTCTAGTTGGGTTCCGGACTTTTCTTTGTACATACATCGACGACATTTATTTATATTTATTTCCTCTTGAACATATTGCTAAGGCGGCGCTTTGGCGGCGAATTCTGTGAATGGAACAAAAATAAAGCAGAGACTATTAATTAATGGAATGTTTTAGGTAAATGTTCGATTATTTTATTCAATAAGATTTTCTTGTTGTTTTTGTGTGTGTCTTTCTTCCTGGTATGCGACCCTCCCCTCTGGCCTTATCTACTTGCCAAAACTCCGCGAAATAACCACAAGAATCAATCCCATGGCAGTGATGACACCCAGGGCCATTCTGTCCGACACCTGAGAGCACAGCATCACGATTACTTGCAGCGCCAGGCTAACAATCAGTTGGCCGGAAAGATTGAGGCGACAGAAGGCGTGCCACATATCACGTAGCGTCAGCTTCGGAATTCTTGGCTCCTGGTGCACCACCCGTTGCTCCACATGTGTGATGGTCACCGTCGGCAGCGGCTCCGAGTTTACGTGCCCCAAGGAGTAGATTGTACAGGACTTTCGCGACGAGGCACTGGTCAGATTTGTTGCACAGCTGGCATTGGTCGTGCACGCGCTGGTTGTGCCCGTAATGTTGACCGGCCTCACCGACCTGACCATTCGATGCTCCTCCTGTTCTCTGTAGTGCAGCGGCTGGAGTTCAAATGGTGCCGTCGACTCTATTTCCCTGCACAGCCGCTCGAATTGTCCGCCATGGTTATCCTCATCCTCGATTGCGATCTCGTCTTCGGTCTCTCTGGTATATTCGGTCAACCAGGTCTGAATGCTCTCCCTGGATGTTCTCTGTTGATTGTGCCAAGTATCTGTTGCGTCACTTTCACTAACATTGAATGTGGCAGCTGCTGGCAGTAGTCCATCACCGAGAATCTGATCCTCCGGCTTTAGCACCACCGTTTGGCCCATCTTCAGGAGCAGCTGCTGGTGCTGCACTTCGTTGCGATTGTGCAGACTGTAGTTGTTGTTGTCGCAGCGGGCCAGCGGCTGCAGCAGCTGATAGGTGACATTCGTCGGTGCGTGATGGTGCCTGAGAAGACTGCCTGGGATAGGTGACTGTTGATGGAGATTGCCCGCACCCGCCACTGTGGACTCGTGGAGGTGCCTTGCCTGATCGAAACGATTCAAACGCTGCTGTTTCAGCTTTGTGCGTTGCTGTTTGAGATTTCCTGATGAGATTTTTGCCAGCGGCCGGCTTTTGGCAAAGATGTTCCCGTGCAGACAAAGGGAAACGCGTCCGTTTCGATATTTCCGCCTACCCACATGGGGAGTGGACCCTGAACTGGGCGCACTGATTCGTGGATCGCTGCTGAGCCTGCGGGTCGTTCCACGGTTAATGGCCAAAAGTGCAGTGTTAGACAAATGCGGTGTGCCGTCCTCCTCTAGCTCTTCGGCCACAATCTCCTGCTCCTGCTCCTGCTTGTGAACTACTTCTTCGTCTTCCTCATCGTCACAATGCTCTGAGACCGCATCACTAGCACATATCAGACGTCTCTGATCGTAGTAGGAGCGGCTCTTGCGTGGCGTTGAAGTGCAGAAGGGACTTGATGGCTGACGTAGCTGCAGCCTGCGGCGCTGCATGCCAGTCAATAGATTCGGCCGCTTACGACGTAGCGGCCGCTGTGGATTAGATGTACAGTAGGCATTCAATAGCAGGGACTGCAGCCAGACGAAAGTATACACACGGACGAGGACAAAGACGAACACGAAACAGACTTACACCCCCGTAAACCAGCGACGAAAGACAATCTACAACACATACAACAACTCAACTGTCAGCCTTACCTCATCACGGGGCAGGCCACTGCTGCCGCTGGTGCTACTGCCAATGCTAAAGCGCGAGGTGAACATCTTGAAGCGTGTGGGTGTCTTGGAGTTGCCGTTGTTTTCACAAGTCTCGCGCAGTATCTCACGTGGCGGCTCGGAGCTGCCAAAGGACAAGCGGCCACCGTTCTTGCTGGGCGTGGGCGGACCAGGACGCTTATAGTGGGTGCCCATTGTCTTCTTGCGGGCCCCAGTGCTTGCCGAAGAGCTGAGCAGGGCGCTCATGCTGTCGTCCAGACTATGTGGTCCATCCTGGAACAAGAAATATTAAAACAATAGAAGAGTATGAGCATCGATGGTGGAGACAAAACTTAATTGTGGATTAGTGGTAGACACACAGAACACAGGAAACAGGGCACATAGATACAACAGCCACAACGAAAACAAGACGACAGAGCCACGAAGGGGACTTCGCGATGGACAAGAGATCTGATCTTACTCTGAACTCTATGGACGGTGGTTGTTTTTGTTTTTTCTTTTTTAAATAGTCTGGAAAGTTTATTTGACTATATATCTTCTATCTTCTTCGATTCTGCCAAATTCGTGCCCATTGCGCTATCTTTGCATTGGCTTTTGAGGGTGTTGCAACTCTGTTCTTGTCGTTGTGGCTGCCGTTGCTGGTGGTGCCAATGTTGCTGCTCTGGCCCTGGCTCTGGCTCGGGCTTACTTTGAGATCTTCATCTTGGCTTCCCACATCGTATTGGGCCGCATATGTGCTCCTCAGATGCGGCGGTTGCAGCGAGTTTCGATAGTTTAGCTCCTCGGCCCTGCCATCAAAAGAGAATTTGGAGAATGTAATTCGAAATTTAGATACCAGTGGAGGTTGACAAACTCACGTTATATCTGGCACTCGACCTAGCTTTAGATCCGTCAAGTATGTGTTGTTGAATACCTCCCCCTCTTCATCTTCCATTGCCAGATTCGAGGAGGGTGCAGAGGGACGCTTGAATGGCTGCCAATCCTCGGTGGCGGCTGTGGCCGTGCTCGCTGTGGTTGCGCTGCCCGAGACAGTCAGTGTGGAAAGTGAAGATGTTGATCTGGTGGCTTCTGAGGTAGCGGTGGCCTGCATGTGGCGCAGCTGTGTGGTGGTTATCGCATGCTGCTTCTGCTGCTCGAGAATCCTTTCGTTTAAGCGAACAATCTGATTCGAGAGCTTCCTTGTATGCTCCTCGAATTTGGTGTTCTGTGTTAATGGTTCAATCATTTTTAATAAATAANACAGTCGCCTCTGTAGTGGCACCAGACGCACGCGGCGCACGTCCTGGCCGCTCCCCGTGCGCATCGGCGTGACGCTGCCTATGGCGGCGCTGTTTCTTGCGATGCTCCCCGTTCGGCAGCAGCTCGTTAACGTAGTGCAGACTGCTCGTGGCGCTACCACTGCCGCTGCAGCTCTGCTGATCCACATCCGTGGGCGTGTGTCCGTGTCCATGGCCGTGCGAGTGCTTTAAACGCGAATGTTTTTCCTCCAGCTCGCTCTTGTTCTTCATGGCCACCTCCTCGAGATGTGCTTTTCCTGCAGAAACAAAAACAATAAAACAATTCTCAATTACTATTAAAATTAAAATAAAAAAATAACCTACAAACATGCCACGTTTGTGCTTATCCCTTTTGGCTAGGACCACGACCAAGGTGAAGTAGGAGAGCATAATGCCAGCAGGCACCAAAATCTTCACCGTGTTGTTCCGCATAGGTGCTCCTCAGATGCGGCGGTTTCAGCGAGTTTCAATACTTTAGCTCCTCGGCCCTGCCATCAAAAGAGAATTTGGAGAATGTAATTCGAAATTTAGATACCAGTGGAGGTTGACAAACTCACGTTATATCTGGCACTCGACCTAGCTTTAGATCCGTCAAGTATGTGTTGTTGAATACCTCCCCCTCTTCATCTTCCATTGCCAGATTCGAGGAGGGTGCAGAGGGACGCTTGAATGGCTGCCAATCCTCGGTGGCGGCTGTGGCCGTGCTCGCTGTGGTTGCGCTGCCCGAGACAGTCAGTGTGGAAAGTGAAGATGTTGATCTGGTGGCTTCTGAGGTAGCGGTGGCCTGCATGTGGCGCAGCTGTGTGGTGGTTATCGCATGCTGCTTCTGCTGCTCGAGAATCCTTTCGTTTAAGCGAACAATCTGATTCGAGAGCTTCCTTGTATGCTCCTCGAATTTGGTGTTCTGTGTTAATGGTTCAATCATTTTTAATAAATAAAATAAAAAACCATATTTTGTTTAAATAAAAACAGTTTCTAATCAACTCACCTGGCATGTAATGGCCTCCAGTTCCGCTTTGGCGTGTGCCGCCTCCCGCTCCTGCTTCTCCTTCATGCGTGTCACCTCCGCGGTGTATAAAGTGCGCTGCCAGTGCGTCAAGTCCGTGTTGTCCGTGTGTTGTTGTGTGTGCGGTGTGGTGTGTGGTGGGGGGTTATTTTTTTTGTTTCAAATAAAAGATGTGGGCGATCCGAGAGAGTGGGTGAGAAATAAGTGGGTGGAGCAACAGGTAAGGGACGGTACAAAAGTGAGTCTCGGAACAAAAACAAAACAAAAAATGGAATGTGTTGCATTCTTCTAGCGACTTCTTCAATATTAGAGTGCGTTAGCTTTAGAATTACCATACATATTTCCAAATACTAAAGCCAATAACCAATAAAACAAAAATACAAATTTACAAAAAAAATTAAATATAACAGGCTCTTGACAGGCTCAGAATTCCGAAGGATGCCCAGCCCTCAGTTCCACGTCAATTCCATTTAGTTTAAGAGTCAACCACATTATGCCACTAAATACTATTAAATACATTAATACTATGGTCTGCCCTATGCTGGGGCGTTGTTTCTAATGTTCAGTTTGTTTCGATTACAGCGAGTGTCCGTTCGTCGTATTTCAGCACAAGACAGTGTAGCGTGTGTGGCGTTTATCAACGATTTTGTTGCAGGTGATAGGAGGTGATGCAGGATGATAGGAGAAATAACAACTTTTTTTTATAATTTCAAAATTAACAAAATTATTTTGCAACAATAAGATGCAAGCAAATGTGAAATGTATGTTGGTGTCCTGTTGTTTTTTTTTATTCGGAATCCAGTATCCCTGGAATTTGGTTCCCTGTGGAATAAGCGGAAAACACGGAGCACAAAAAAAAGAGAAGGGACGTGTGAGACGCTTCTTACGCGTCACAACTTTTATACCCGGCACTCAGTACTACTTCTGCACCTTAGCGGTGTTTTGTCAAATTTAACATTTTTTTTTCATGTGTCATATACATCTACAACACTACTCACACCAACACGCTCCTTTAGCTCTCCCCCCTTCCCTAGACCCACACACTGGAGACTCGCAGAGGCAAAGGCAGCGCCCGCACACAAAAAAAAACAAATATAACCTGCGGGACGGGGTGTGTTAAAAGTCGGCAGAGGCACCGGCTGAGGGACGGCAGAGGCAGAGGCCGAGTAAAGCTGAAGCAGAGTGTGAATGAGAAAAGTGAAAGGAACAATAAAAGCTGCGGGACGGGGTGGGTTTATCCACTGGAAATTAATTTCTTCATTGTGGCTATAATAATGATCCAATCTGATCCCAATTTGGTGATTTGGATGATCGCATTTTTAGTTTTCTTTTATCTTCAAAATTGTAGGTTTGGGAGGTTTTCGCCCTTTTGCGGGGGCGGAAGAGGGCGGGGCTAATTTTTGAAATACACTGGTTTCAGTGTGAGCATACAGCAGTCTGGAGCCAACATTTGGTGGCTCTAGGTCTTATAGTCTCTGAGTACTAGCCGACAAACAAGACGGACAGACGGACAGACAGACATGGCTCTATCGACTCGGCTATTGATGCTGATCAAGAATATATATACTTTATGGGGTCGGAAACGTTTCCTTCTGTGCGTTACATATAACCGTTATTCACACAAATACAATATACCATATTTACTCTTCGAGTACCGGGTATACAAAACAACAGAACCACACGGAAAATAATGGGTACAAACTTTTCAACACAGAACACACAAAAATGAAATATAAAACAGAAAAATACTATGCAAAGAAATACAAATACAATATATGTACATGATATATAAATATGGGCCCCACAGATCGAATATTAATCTGTGGCACGCCCGATTATGGGTTTTTTACCATTGACATTCTTCTTCTATGCATAAACCAATCGATTTCTACTGTATACTCTGTGTGGCAGAGATAAACTCAACAGTGTGGTGAGGGTTAGTAAATAATAATAATTAGATATATATATACGTACATCAGGCAGAATGCAGTCATAAAGGCATGGCTCCAAATGACAATATAATTGTTATCAGAAATATGTTAAGGGTTTAAGTATTGACTTGAGAGTTTGCTTAGGTTTGGTATTTAGATGTGTTCCAAAATTACAAGTAGAAAATCAAGGAGAAGGGACGTGTGAGACACTTCTTACGCGTCAAAACTTTTATGGCCGACACTCAGTACTACATCTGTACCATAGCGGTTTTTTCAAATTGTACATTTATCTTCATCTGTCATCTACACTACACGAAGCAGAGTGTGAATGCGAGAATGTGCAAGAAATAAANACAGCAGTCTGGAGCCAACATTTGGTGGCTCTAGCTCTTATAGTCTCTGAGAACTAGCCGACAAACAAGACGGACAGACAGACATGGCTCTATCGACTCGGCTATTGATGCTGATCAAGAATATATATACTTTATGGGGTCGGAAACGTTTCCTTCTGTGCGTTACATATAACCGTTATTCACACAAATACAATATACCATATTTACTCTTCGAGTACCGGGTATACAAAACAACAGAACCACACGGAAAATAATGGGTACAAACTTTTCAACACAGAACACACAAAAATGAAATATAAAACAGAAAAATACTATGCAAAGAAATACAAATACAATATATGTACATGATATATAAATATGGGCCCCACAGATCGAATATTAATCTGTGGCACGCCCGATTATGGGTTTTTTACCATTGACATTCTTCTTCTATGCATAAACCAATCGATTTCTACTGTATACTCTGTGTGGCAGAGATAAACTCAACAGTGTGGTGAGGGTTAGTAAATAATAATAATTAGATATATATATACGTACATCAGGCAGAATGCAGTCATAAAGGCATGGCTCCAAATGACAATATAATTGTTATCAGAAATATGTTAAGGGTTTAAGTATTGACTTGAGAGTTTGCTTAGGTTTGGTATTTATATGTTTTCCAAAATTACAAGTAGAAAATCAAGGAGAAGGGACGTGTGAGACACTTCTTACGCGTCAAAACTTTTATGGCCGACACTCAGTACTACATCTGTACCATAGCGGTTTTTTCAAATTGTACATTTATCTTCATCTGTCATCTACACTACACGAAGCAGAGTGTGAATGCGAGAATGTGCAAGAAATAAAAAAAACTGCTGAACGGGGAGGGTTTAGCCACAGCAAATAAAATTCTTCATTCTGGCTATAATAATTATCCAATCCGATCCCAATTCAGTAATCTGATAGGTATACCGCAAATTTTTCGCGATTTACGGGGGCGAGGCTCATTTTTTAAATACACTTGTAACAGTACCAGGTATAAAAGTTGTGACGCGTAAGAAGCGTCTCACACGTCCCTTCTCGTTTTTCAAATACGCTGGTTTCGGTGTGAGCTTACAGCAGTCTGGAGGCAACATTTGGTGGCTCTAGCTCTTCTAGTCTCTGAGAACTAGCCGACAAACAAGACTGACATGGCTATATAGACTCGGCTATTGGTGCTGATCAAGAATACATATTCTATGGGGTCGGAAACGTTTCCTTCTGTGTGTTACATATGTACATACACTTTTTGCACAAATAAAATATACCCTATTTACTCTTCGAGTAACGGGTATAAAAATACCAAGAAAGTGGGAAAATGAATGTGTAAGAGTGGATAGAACAGAGATTGGTGCGTTGGTGTTAGTGTTAATGTGTTATGTGAAAAGATTAGTTAAATAGCTCAAGAAATTTTTTCCGAAAAGCGTAAATAGGAGTGGGAAAATTAACATCAGTAGGAAGCCATGCCGATTTAGGACTGTAGGACGACGCTTGATCGACTTTCGAGCAGGACGTACCATTTTGTTCTTCATCTTTTCAAGTTTTCCCTCCATCTCGTTTCGCTGGTCCTTTAGGCTTACGTGCAGTTCGTCTATCTTCTTTTTGGCTTCCTGGTATTTGGCCTGCAACACCTGACAGTTTTGTTGGAGGGTGCTCCGATCGGGTAGTCCCTCCTCCTCAGCAGCTGCCGTATAGGTGGCATTGAGGCGTTCCATAGCGTCCGCCAGATCTTTTTTGGTGACATTTAATTGCTGGCTTAACTGAATTTGGAGCTCCTCCGAGGTCTTTTGCTGGGCAGTCATGTTGACTTGTAGGAAGGCATATCTGTTTTCAGACTCCTCGAGTTGATCTTCGTACAACTTGAGCTGCTTGTTGTGTTCGTCCTGCTGCTTCAGAAGATTTGATTGCAGTTCCATTTTCACTTGAAGAATTTCCTGGAGGGTACACTGGAGGAGTTCTGCTTGCTGTTTGAGTGATTTATTTTCCAATTTATGTGCCTGTTCGATATTCTCCATGAGTTCGCGTCGTGATTGCAATTCCATCTGCAAGCGCAGCTGCTCCTGTTTGGCAGCTTCCAGTGCTTGGCCATCTTCAGCTATCTTGACTTGTAGCTGTGCTATTTCCCCGTCGTGTGTCTCCGTTTGGAGTACCAGCTGTTCGAGACGCTGATTGGTTCGCTTCAATTGCAAGTTGAGAGAACCAATCTCCTGATTGAGGTGTGCTTCTTTCTCATCGGTTTTGTTGATCAAAACATTGAGGTCCTTTCTGACAGTACGTTCGGATTTGCGCATCATTTCCTTTTCCTTGCGCAGGGCTTCTATTTGCGCATCCTTCTGCTTAAGTTCTTCTTGCATATTTTCTTGCTGCTTCTGCTGCTGCTCCAGCTTCTGCTGAACGCGGGACAATTCCTTTGTGTTCTGCTCTGTAGCCTCCATCAGGGTGTCACGCTCTTTCAGCAGCATCGCATAAGACTCGTTTTGTTCATCGAGTTTTTGCCGACAATTGGCCAACATCAGATCTACATTAACAAGCTCCTTCTGATGCTGCTCATCTAGGGTGTTTCTTTTCACGAGCAGTAGATCCTTATGGTCCTTCATGATCGTAATTGTTTCAGCATCCTGTTCGGTTTTTTTTTGCAGCTCAATTAGTTCTCGGTGAAGCAGCTCCTTCTCCTTGGTCACATTATTAGCTTGAGCAAGAATCTTTTGAAATTCGGACAATACCATCTTGTGCTGCTCTGCAACCTCCATCAGGGTGTCACGCTCCTGTTTCAGGGTGTCCAGTTCCTTCATGAAGGTGTCACGCTCTTGTGTCATGATGTCACGTTCCTTCATGAAGCTGTCACGCATTTCCATCAGGGTGTCATGCTCTTGTTTCAGGGTGTTCAGTTCCTCCATCAGGGTGTCACGCTCTTGCTTCAGGGTGTCACGCTCTTGCTTCAGGGTGTCCAGTTCCTTCATGAAGATGTCACGCACTTCCATCAGGGTGTCATGCTCTTGTCTTAGGGTGTCACGCTCCTGTTTCAGGATGTCCAGTTCATTCATGAAGGTGTCACGCTCTTGCGTCATAAAGTCACGTTCCTTCATGAAGGTTTCACTCACTTCCATCAGGGTGTCATGCTCTTCTTTCAGGGCGTTCAGTTCCTCCATCCGGTTCTCATACTTTTTCAGCAGCAACGCATGAGAATCGTTTCGATCGTCAAGCTCTCGGCAACAATTCGCCAACTTTAATTCAATCTCAATGCGCTCATTTTCATACTGCACATCTCGGTTGTTTCGCTCAAAGAGGAGTTGTCCGTAGTTCGTCTGTGATTCCCTGTATTTTTCTTCTAAGGCATCAATTTTCGAACGCATCTCCGTCATGGAAATGTTAGAGCTTTCAACCAAGTCCTGGCGCTTGCGTTCATTCTCATTGGTTTCGGCTTCGTTAGCGAGGCTCTTCTTTAAAATTGATTCGTATTTTTGGCGCCACTCTACAACTTTAGCCTCCATTTTCTTTAGATTCGCAGCGTTTTGTGCATGTTCTAGCGCCAGTTCATGAGACAAGTTTCTCGCCTGCTCCATGTCCTGCTGTGCCATCAAATCGGCATAAATTTGTTCATTATCTTCTATGTGACGTGCAGGCTGCACAAGGCTTTCCTCTAGCTCGATTTTGTTAGCAGTCAGTGCATCGATAGAGCTTTGCAATTGCGAGCCATTCATCCTATGCTCCTCCATGCTGTAAGTTAACTTTGCACACTCACTGGCCAGAGATTTCTCCGAGATTTTGAGTTTCTGTTGGCTGTGCTCTAGCTGGGATTTTTCCATCGACAGGATCTCAACTCTTTCCATCAGTTCTTTAACTTCCGCCGTTAATTCAACTATTTTCACAGCCTGTAAATCTTTAAATCGTTCCTTTTCAGCAATCAAATCTTCAATCTCTTCCAATTTTGTGACATGCGAATCTGCGTCTGTTTGTGTCGATGAGTCCTTCTTCTTCTTGTCAAGTTTCACGCGAAGTGTCTTGATATTTTTCACAAGTTTATTGACCTCGGATTCGTTGGAAACCTGTGGACGCATGTCAATCGCTGCACAATTGACCTCCAGTAGCTGAGTCGGATCCTCGAAGCAGGACACCGGATTTGGAGGCGGTTCAAGCTTTACTGGCGAATTGAGTCTGTCATAAATGTGTGTCTGCAGTTTGACGAATTCCTCTTTGAGTTGGCATAGCTCCATCTCCTTTTCGCGTAGCTGCTTGTCGATTACCGAGCTGGCTAAATTTTCTGGCACACTGCCCGGCGATAGCGATGTGTCCAGCAAATCCCCTGTTGAATTTAACACCTCACGACGGCCCTGCGACTCTTGCCGCAGAACATTCAGGCACTGGGTCAAGTCCTGCTTGTCACGCTCCAGGCAGCTAATCTCCATATCTTTGGCCATCACGCTTTCACGCAGTTCCTTCACCTTGAGATCAAGCATACTGATCTGATCGAAGCACACTTTCAGCTGCTCCTCTAGTTCGCGAACCTTTTTGGGGAAATGTTTAGAATTTGTTGCTACAATCGAAGATTGAGGTCAGATCTTACCCTATTCTCCTCCTTGGAACGCTCATTGATGGCATCCTGCAGCTGTTCCTGTGTTTCTGATAACAATTTATCCCTGGCTGTTATTTCCTTGAGGTGACCCAGCTTTAACTTAAGTTAGAAAGTTAGGAAATTTGGTTTTGCTTATCTTATGACAATTCTTCTACTTACATGCTCGTAGTTCATCTGTCCCTCGGCATCTTCATCGGTGGCACGCTCCTCGAAAATTTTCACCTTCTCCTTCAGCAACCCAATTTCGGCTTTGAGCTCTTTATTTTCTGCACAATGTATGGAAACGTGAGTGAGATTTGTATTATGATAACGAATAATTATTGCTCTTGGGAAGACGTACCATTTTTTACTTTACTATTCGCATGGCTAATCTCCTGCAAAAACTCATCCAAGGAGCTGTTCTCGCACTCTGCTGTGGCCAATTTGCGTTCAGTCGAGGTCAGTTTGATTTCCGTTTCTGCCAGTCTGATCTCCGCAGCTGACAATTTTTGGCGCATTTGACGCCAATCCGCCTCCGACACGCGTTCACGCTCACGCATTGGAGTGCTGCAAATCGGTAGCGGTGAATCGCCACTCGTGTGCAACGGCGTCTCTGTCGGTGTCTGTGGACTTGCTGTGTCGAGTGTTACTGGTGTGCCCGGAGTTTGGGGAATGCTGGCAACAACGGTGTGACTATTGGATATGCTTGTATCAGGCGAGGCAATGGTACGCGGATGCACAAATTTCGGTGATGTTTGTAAGGCGTCTTTCAGGCAGTTACGTGTTATCTTTTGACTATCAACTATGTGCCTTAGAAACGATGCTATCGACCTTTGCATGGATTCCGAGAGCTCTGTGCATATAAGTTGATATTTCTCGCTTTTTTTGATTACACAGGCGTAGTGCAGCATCAGTGTATAGACCATCAGATGGTCGGTGCGATCAAGATTGCCACTTCTGTCCAGATTGGGACAGAAGTCTGGATAAACATCTGGTGAAAGAGGATACACAAAAAAAAAAGGAAATCAGCAAGAGAATCGCAAAACAATTACATTTTATAAGATAAATCTCACCTTTCAAAAATTGTATCAACGGTGTGGCTCGATCCGAACCCTGTGTCGAGACCGTGTCTAGAAAGATTTCCATATGATCATACTCCAGATAACGAAGAAAAAATATATTTATATTGGATTGTTCGAGGGTCAAAAAATGTTCGTCCACGAAACCACATTTCTGTACCTGTAAGTGGATTATATTGAGGATTAGCATTGGATTTATTGTTTCCCTTTTCCCCAAGGCCATCTTTCCCTCCCACTTCCACCCTACCCACACTCACGCATTTATGCTCAAGGACAAGACGCACACATACACGCACATACGTAGGTCATATGGTCATGCGTTGGCCAACACTCATGCAGTTAAATGGGGTCTGCGCAGCCTCGCAGAAAACACACAAAAATTCATACATATTTATGATCATGGAAAACACAGAAAGCATTCAGTGTTTCTCTCGTTTCAGTTTAAACTAAAATCAGGAAAGTGCACACAAACACAAACACACACACGACGGCAACACAGCAGAAAACACACGCACACAACCACACAAGGAAAGCAGTCGAATTTCGCAAGGAACATACTCGTTCCTCGTTCTACCATCTAATTTCCAAACTAATTTGTTAGCTATTGTTATTCATTCCTTAAAAATATTTTAAATATTGCAAGGCGAAACACACAAGCACACACAAAAGTAAAAAAACCTCTGCGAGGGCAGCTTCACAAAATACCGGCACATCTCCATGCATATCTACACTCATATGTATATATTTATTTAGTTCTTCGATGCTAATTTCGGTTACAAATAATCTTTTAAGCTGTTATTATTATTGGATTTCAAAAAATTGTGGACATAACAATAATTAAAATAATTACAAGCCATTCACGCAAGTGCATACACCAGACATAGCAGGCGGCGGCAGCAGCCGAAAAATAGATACATGTGTACACACTGAGAAACTCTGCCACAGAATTTCGCAAGGCCCTGCTCCGTCTTTCCTTATATGTACATATCTCCAAATTTTCACATTTTTTAGATACATACAAATATTAGTTCTAACTTTAATTATTTAGTTCTGAAATAAAGCAAACAACGTTTAGAAAAAGGAAAACACAAAGGCTTGGAAGGACCGGCAGACCTCGCAGGAAAATCCCTTGCAAAACAACACGAATTGCAGAACTATGTAGGCCCCGACAGCCTTACACACATACCAGCCAGGTACGCAAGCGCATACATACAAAGCAAAACTTTACGACGGCATTTACACAGAAAAACAGACTCATCTTTTTTATTTCTTTGGATTTGTGTTAGCCTTTAATGTAGTATTTGTGAAAAAAAACAAAAGTATTGCAAATACCTGCACGCATACACACATTATGGCTATGCGACGCCGGTGCGGGCACTACACACACACAAGCAAAAAATATGAAAAATAAATGCTCAACTTACCCATGCAAAAATAACCCTCTTCCAGCTTCGGAGACCCATTTCAGCGAAATACACTCACGTAAAGAACAAAACGAAAAACAACTTCTTCACGCAGCGACGAGACTAGAAACTAGAAACCAAAGGACGGATTAAATTAAAAGGACTTTGAAAAAACACGAACCGGACGCTGACTTTATTTGAATGACAGTGTGACCGCGGACTTATCGATGTAAAATACCGACAGACCCTCGGAAATATACCGAAATATACCCTTTCATTTTCAAAACGTACTTTATACTTTAGTCTAAAATCGATTTAATCGGCTTTGATCTTCTCTGATATTACCAGCTGGTTTATGACTCTCAGCTCTAAAAATTTAGTTTTAATCGAATATTCATTAAATTCTCCACAAAGATTGATTGCAAAATAAGGTTCAAACTAAAGAGGTCAACCAAAAATAAGAGCATTAAAAGGGACGTGGGTGGGAATGGAATATTTCTTCATTTGACAATTTTTTGCTGGCCAACCGATAAAACAGTATATTATGGGTCCTTGTGTACGCTATTTGCAATAAATAATATTATAGGGTAACCCGCTGAATTTTGAATGGCGCCGTGGATCTATCCATGAAATATACCGGACGACCCTCGGAAAAATAGCAAAATATACCGAAGAAAATCATTTTCCAGGACAACTTTACAACCGATCCATGATCGCCCAATATTACAAGCCACAAGCTAAAAAAGGTACTAGCTGTCCCAGCCGGGAAATTGATAAGAAAAAAGGGTATATGAACAACTGGCAAAACGACAAAACGAATGCAACGCATTTATGGTATATGCACACCCCCCATGTGGCAACCAATCCATGATCAGTTAATTTTAAATAGTTGTAAATAAAGAAGCAAAGAGTTGATAAATCAATGATGGAGGAGGATTGGCTGTGTTCCTTGGACTTACCTGCTTTCCTTGCTCTGCTTTGTCACTTATTATTAACCAAACTTTAGCGAATGATATTCTCCCGAAGCTACGACAATCGATGGGAGTCTTTAAACTACGAATATAAGAAAACTTATGTTTTAATACCTGACTGAAATGAACACAACTTCTGAATAAACTACAAAGACGCTTTGGCATCAAACTCGAAGCTACGTCTATGTTTAAACTCTCAAACGGCCATTACAGATACATATGGCAGGGCCAACTGTGGCAGCACCGATAACAAAGCGTGATTTGCGGTAGATTTGAACAATACTTTCGGAACATAAGGGAGGCCAAGAAATTCAAAGCAAAACAGCCATGGCGTCTAGTCCCTGTGCCTCACGCGGGTGGGAGAAACCAAAAGAGTGCGGCCCACATGTAAATCATTAAATTGCAATAACAATGGCCAATGCCAAAATCCG